TTTCCTATACTGAAACAAAAGACAGGACTATAAAGACTAACAAGATGGCTTATTAGGTGATGAGCTTTTGTGGGCCAGACCCACTTCCTCAGATCAAATTGTGGAAGAAAATAGGCATGACCATATATACCAAAGGGATACAATCAAAAAAAGTGAACACGTATAAAATTGACAGATCAGATTTTAGAACAGAGGAGGGAAGGGGAGAGAGGTTAGCGTCTATGAGATAATGATATTAGGGGGTGATAACTGGGGAAGCTCCTCTTTAGAGTGTCCTTAACAAAGATGCTAATTATCTTACCCATTACAAAGATAGCTTCCCCAATTATCACCCCTAATATCATTATCTCATAGACGCTAACCTCTCTCCCCTTCCCTCCTCTGTTCTAAAATCTGATCTGTCAATTTTATACGTGTTCACTTTTTTTGATTGTATCCCTTTGGTATATATGGTTGTGCCAATTTTCTTCCACAGTTTGATCTGAGGAAATGGGTCTGGCCCACGAAAGCCCATCACCTAATAAACCATCTTGTTAGTCTTTAAAGTGCTGCATAGTCCTGTCTTTTGTTTCAGCTACACCAGACTAACATGGCTACGTCTCTATTACTTTCCTATACTGAGTTCTGCTTGGCAAAAGTGTTAGGGAGCCAGTTATGTTTTTCTGATCCTCTGGATTGAACAGTATCATTTCAGCACAGAGTAGAACAGATAGTACCAGAAGATTATTAGTGCAAACTGCAAACCCTCATGCAAGCCTCTCCTTTTCTGTACTTTCTCCACTCTTTCTCACCCCCCAAATACTGCTCCTACACAAGAGTGTGACTGGAAAAAAAAGACAGTTACATCAGCTGAAAGCACCCCTATGGAAATGGAATTCTCAGTTGGCCGGAACCAACTGCTCTCTGGGCCCCACTTTGAACAGGGATGGCAATTGGTAAGAAAGAATTTGACCCTATGAATTAATATTAAATTTACCCAGACATTGATGCAGGGCCTCACACAGCAGAATTTCTGCCCTGGAATTGAGGTCTCAATCTCTCCTCTTTAGCGTGTCCTTGTGCAGAGAAACCTAATCCTGCCCCATCTAATCCTGTAGAATATTCTCCAAAGCAACTTCTGTGGATAGAGTTCCTATGCAGTCCACAGTGCTGATTTAAGCCTCCTCTGCCAATGGAAACCTTTATAGAAGATGCATAGGGTGCATCTAGACAGCAGCGCTATTTTGGGATACTTCTGGTATCCTGAAATAGTGTTTTCCGTGTTGATAGTGTGCCCATTATTTTGAAATAACATGTGTGCTATTCCAACATCCCTGTAAAACTCGTTCCACGAGGATTAAGGGACACTTCAGAATAGCGCTTTATTTTGAAATTAACTCAAAATAAGCTACGCGATTTGCAATAGGTCAGCAAAGCTGAACAGAGGAAATATATAACATGTTCATTTTTAAAAAAAGAAAAGATTATTTGAAGGGAGGAAAGGGAGGCATTCTAGAATGTACAGAGCTGAATTATAGCAGTACCATAGCTGGAATTTGGGAAACAACAAATTATATTACAGATTTTGGGAAAAAAAAGATCTCTATCTAGGTATTCGAGAGGAGAACCAAAAATGAACTTCATCTAGCTACTTTAACACCCTTTTCTTTCATTCTGTAGTTTAAAAACCATTTTATTTTGTTTTTTTAAATTCCAAGATGTTAGCCTTTAATGTGGATTAATCCCTGTGGGTATGTCTACACTGCAAAGTTATTTCTAAATAACTTTACTAGCGTCTACACAGCCAAACCGCTATTTCAAAATTAATTTGAAATAGCGGAGCGCTTATTTTGAATTTAGTAAACCTCATTCCACGAGGAATAATGCCAAATTTGAAATAGCTATTTTGAAATAAGTGGCGTGTAGACACATATATCGAAATAGGGGGCCTCCAGCCTTCCCAGGGTGCCCTGGTGGCCACTCCAGCCTCAACCAAGAACACTCTTCTCCCTCCCCCCTCCCCTGAGCCCTTAAAGGGGTTGACTCTGGCCACAATTCCTGGGCTAGCTCTAAGCCTGCCAGCCCAGAGCCAGCAGTCACTGCCCCTGACCCAGTGGTCCCAAAACATGAGCCAGCAAGCCACTGGCAGCCAGCCCTCCATCACTCCCCAGGAGCAGTCTGCCAGGGCCCGGACACTGTTGAAATCATTTTGTTTCTCTTGAGTTTGTAATGATCTGGAAATCAGAGGAGGAACTCTGCAGGAGCAGGTTAGGCTCCTGTATGGGAGCCCAGTAAGAACATTTCAGTGGAGCCTGAGTGGAATAGAAAAATATTGAGGCTAATCTAACACACTGAAAACTGTGCAGTATTAATTTTCTATTTATTTGACTTCGTATTAAATAAACATTTAAAGTCATGCACCTTGATAATTGTCCCTCGTTTTAGTATTCTTTCTTCCATGAAATTTATATATGGGTGTGTGTGGGTGTGTATATGTTGGGTGCCACAGTGGCACACATCTGAACAAGCGTGCACGACCTCAATATTGGTGCACAAGACAAAACTGACTCTGCTCATTTATGGAAAATCTTAGAGGGAACACTGCCTCCCTGGTCAGGCCCTCTCAGGACCTAACCAGTTCTGGACGAGGGAATTTGCTGGATAATGGGAGGTCCCCGACACCAGCCCTTCATCCTGCTGCCTCTCCTTATTGCTGGCTCCTTTGGCTTGGCCAGATGGCCTGCTGGCCAGCTTTGGCTCTGCTGCTTGCTGGGTGGCACGTGGCCAGGTGCACTGCTTCTGCTGGGCTGCTGCAGCCAGGTTTCTCCTCCTGGGCTGCTGCATCTGCAGCCCCAGCCTTGCCGCTGGGTGGCACATGACCTCCACTGTGCTGCTTCTGTTGTTGGGCTGCTGTGGCCTGGCCCGACTTCTCCCTCCTTGGCTGCTGCGGCTGCAGCCCCTGCTCTGCTGCTGGGAGGAAGACAGTCCCAATCATGCTGCTGCCACCACCGGGACAGCTGTGGACCGGCTCCTGCCACCCAGGATATTATGGCCCTGCTAGTGCCTGGACTGATGTGGCCCTAGCCAGGCTTCCCCTCCTGGGCAGCCATGGTCTTGGCTCCACTGCCAGGCAGCAGGCAGCCCAGATAGCGCTCCACTGCTGCCTGGGCTGCCCCGGCACTGCCGCTACCCTGGCTGCTGTAGCTCCGCTGCCACCAGACTCACGGGGTTTCCAGCTGCAGGCCCTCCTGCTCCAGGGTTCTCTCGGACAGGAGCATCCGGGGTCATGTCAAATCATGGATGTTGCTGGATGAGAGAGTCCTGGTTAAGGGAGCTGCAACCTGTAGAACTCTCATGATTACATTCTGAACAGCTTTGTTTATTTTATGTTAAAATGGGCTGCTGCAGCTGATGGCACCCAGCTTCTATGAGCCAGACACATCAGGACACACAAAGCTTCCACATTACTCAAGTCTCTCCAGACTTCAGTAGTCTAGCACAGAGGCTAGAATAGCTTGTTACATTTGATGTTACAAATCAGGGTGGTGTTATCTGAATTTCTAGTTTATGGTTCTTTGTTTGGAGACAAATAATTGAAGGCTGCTCTTTAGTCCCAAAGCATAGGTTAAAGGCAGGTAACCTTTTTACTATTGCAGTCAAGATGATACTTTGGCAAAATTAGCTGACGCTGTCTAATTTTGTCAATACACTGACAAAATTAGCCGAATGTTTTCAAACTACTCCATTTTGAAAGGGAGATAAATGTTTCCAGGGGCAAAGTTATGCATCTCTTAGAAATTACATACACTTTTAATCCTTTTCAGCCATGCCTGCTAGGACTACTGAACATCTAAAGGAAAACTAGACAGTAATTATTTTCTAATTTATGAGATCTGCAAAGTTCAGGTGGTGTTTAGGATACAGGGTCCTGGGTTGGCCCATCTCTAGGAAATAAACTGCTTTAAAATTGATGCACAATCTGACTTTTAGTACTGGGGTCAAAGTCTGACTCCTGTTTCTCTGACATTTCATCTCCTATAGCAAAGGTCTAGGTTGCCTGATTTTGTTGAATCTATATTTAAACATGGTGCTTGTGTGAGATCAAAAAAGGAATTTCTTATGTATACACTTGTAATCCTTCGAGTGACTCAATCTGTACATGCATTTCAACTGTTAAGTAACTGACTAAAAGTTTTCCTTGCTTTCCTGGTTTTACCAAATAAAAAACTGCACTTCAGTCAGTATTAATTACAAAGGTAAACCAGTCCAGACCAAGAAAAATAAAAAGATCTGATATTAATGTAACTTAAATATAGAGCATGTACTTTATACATTAGAAAATAATATATTATTATAAATAATAATCCAGAATACTACCTCTGTGCAACACTAGTGACTAATTGTATATGATGGAATTTTGAGGAAAGTTGAGGTATGAAAAATATGGGACTAAAATTGGACTTGGTATAACTTTAAATACACCAAGACCTGTCATAAGTGACCACAATAGGGACCATTACAATAAAACTTGGTCGATTAATGGATGATAACATCAAATAAAGGAGGAGCAAATTTGTACTCTAGCTCTGAAGAGACAGACCAGTCTCTGAAGGGCAGGAATTTATATAATTAGGGGGTTTGCTATACGGCATTCGGATTTTACTGTATGCCATTCACTATTTGCAGATGTTATAACCACATAGTTTGCTCATTCAACTTTCTGTCCTTGGGGAAAAATGAAAGAGGATAAGATCTAATTATTGAAACTCTGCCCACTCTCTCTCTTTTTATAGCAATAAAACCATAATTAAGTATTCAGCTTTACACCCCAGTTGTAGGTGGCTTGCATGTCTAATTCTGTGGTCATCTGTCTCTTGCCCTGCATGTTGACACTAATTTTTCATTCCTGTTTGCACAAAATGGTTACACTGATTAGAAAACATAGCTCTGAACTGTGTGTTTAATTCTGTTTTTGCTTTGTTGAAATTCTTTACCTTCTATTGTTGTGTTTTATTTACCAGGTTCACCTCAGCGAGTAAATGGGAAAGTGAAAGGGAGAATCTTTGTAGGAAGTAACCCAGTTCCAGTTGTATTTGAGAACACTGACCTCCATTCTTACGTTGTGATGAACCATGGAAGAGCATACACTGCTATCAGCACTATTCCGGAGGTGCTGGGGTATTCTCTGCTTCCTCTTGCTTCTGTTGGTGGTATCATAGGGTGGATGTTTGCTGTGGAGCAGCAAGGATATAAAAATGGATTCAGTATTGCAGGTAACTTTTTTATTAGAACTTGTTCAAAAGCCGTTTCATACTTTTCTCTGGCTTGAGGCAGATAACTGTTAATTTGTTTCAAAGTATTCTTGTTTATTAGAAAGATACAGAAACTCCCTATATCCTTATTTGTATTAGTTTGTTGGTGTTAGATCAGGCATGTCCAAAGTCCGGCCCGCGGGCCAATTGCGGCCCATGTTCCGATTTAATACGGCCCCCGCTTCCTCCCCCTCTCCTGGCTCCCCGGCGCTCTTTTGAACTGGCGCGCCCAGCGCGCCGCTTCCGGCCGCGCCGCCACCGCCGCCGCCCATGGCCTCTGCGGTCCTAGAGCCTGCCCTGTAGGGCATGTTCGCAGCCCTGCTCCCCCGCTCCGGCGCGGGTTCGCCCTGCCCCCAGGCCACCGTGAGGCCGGCGTGCCCTGCGCTCTCCGCCCGCCTCCGACCCTGCGGGCCCTCCGCCTTGGGGCTGAGAGTGCGGGGACGGCCCTCACGC